ACTTTAGTTCGCTCAATTAACACTAGAACTGCCGTGCCAGTCAAAATGACTGGTTTCAGTTTTTCTGTTTCGCAATTATTGATATCTTCGAAGCATTGAATATTCGAAATGATTTTGAAAATAAATAGTTTCACTTGAATACTATAATGATTGTCTGAAGAAACCGAAAATAATCTATTACTACAATATTCATAGCGATTACATTTCAATCGTATCAAATGCTCGGTAGTTCTAGTGTTAAACGATGATCATTCGAAAATATTTCTATGTTATAAATAACGCTACCTAGTAAGGTGACGTTCAGCTAGATGGACGTGCAATTATAGTAATGCAATTCAATCGAATGATTTAACCCTTTGCACTTGGAAGGCGACTCTCAGTCATTTGATTTGACGCGGTAAAACTACAAAATCTGAAATTCAATGTTGAACTTCGTATAATGCCTTGATACGTGAAATCTTGAAATAAAATAGCTTTGCTCCTCAATGTACTTGTGATTTCTCTTCGAGTTAGTTCCAAGGAATACCGTCTTCGTCTCGTCAAAAAATGTTAAACATTTCTAGTGAACTTCCGAGTGCAAAAGTTTAAAATTTGTTTTTTATCCATTTTCTGTATTCTCCGCCATGAAATCGTGCGGTATTCAACGCGTTAACACTAGAACTACCGTGCCAGTCAAAATGACTGGTTTTGACTTTTTTGTTCCGCAATTATTGATACCTCGAAGGCATTGAATGTTCAAAATTATCTTGAAAATCAATAGTTTTACTTGACTACCGTACTGAATATCAGAAGAAACTGAAAATAACCTATTGTTACAATTTTGATGGGGATTATATACTAATCGTATTAAATACACGGTAGTTCTAGTGTTAACCCCTTGTCCTACAACAACGAGTGAGGCTCGTGGTGAAGATTTTCAACATGATTCAACAAATATCTATATTACTTAGTTAATTCGAATTCAAAATAAATATTATTCCTCTGTAATCAACTATTATACTTAAAAGGAAATATAGAAATAACATATGCTTAGGATTCTTCTCTTTTTCCAATAAATTATCATGACAAAGTAGCCGTATCGATGAGAGTTGAGAAAGAAATCATAGGTCAAGGGGTTAAGGAAACTATATTCCGCATGCTTCAGCATGTATGGGGCCCTTCACACGCGGCGTACGTTCAGAGAAAAGGATCATCCATCCGATACGCTCCCGGAAATCGATTGTCCCGTGTCGGGCCGCGACGTTTCGGGAAGAAGATTTCCCTCGTGGCCCTTACGCCCGCGATCTAAACATAGACGAAGCGGGTACGCGACGCCAGCCACGTGTTGGCACGTGGTGCACACGTTTTCTGGAAAGGTGCTACACGAGACACGGGTATCTACACGCGATCCTCGTAGATCATCGCGCCGGCGTTTTCATGGTTCGTCCGATCGCACGTGCTCCTTCGAAAGCCTGTTACTTTATCAGTAAATCGTCCGCTTGTAACGGGAAACCTCGCTTTCCACCCCCTCAACACGAATTTTGTCTTTCACCCTTTCTTCTAATCTTAACCTCTTGCCGTGCAATGACTAGTGAGACTCGTGATGAAGATTTCTAGCCTAATCTAACAACAATCGATGTTATTCATTACTCAAATCAAACAACTATTTTGCTGTCATTGTATTATTTTCAAATAAAATTTCCACTTGAAGTAGAATGGACAATTTTGTTGCATTTCTTCCGAATTGTCGATAGTAAAATGGTACACGAGCTTAATGGCGAAAGTAAACAGTACGGCAAGGGGTTAAGCTTTGCTTGGACACGTTCGACTCAATTCAAACGAGACTTTGTTTTATTTCTTTCGAATCCAGCTGTTAAAAGACTTTGGTATCTTCGTCGATCTTTAGTTTATCATGTTTGAAGTGTTACTGAGGAGAGTCGGAAGATATTGGAATACAATAAGGAAGAATGTAAGATACGAGTTCACTCGTTCACTTTTGAAAGGTTGATCCAAGATTCACAGCGTTACCTTCTTTCTTCACCCTCACACTCGTGACAGACGGATAAAAGACACGATCGAACTAATGATTACTAGAAACATCTAAAAGTGGAACAGATGTAGGTTTGTTCGATTAACGCGTTAAAGGTTCCGAAATTAGTCGTTTTCACTTTACTTTCGGCTGCTACGCAGTCCTCGATACACTTTCTCGCGCATTGAACACGGCGAAGTTACTTCGGAGGGTGATTTAATCGAGGAACCGTACGTTGTGATGGAAACACTGGAATCTTCCAGCCACTGGAGCGTCTTTCCGCGAAAAGACGGCTCTCCTCGCGAGCGGCCGCGGATAATTGCGTAAAAACGAGCCGCTTCCTCGAAGCTTGGCCCGCGCACTGATTCCGTGCCGGCTTCGTTCGACACAGTGACTGAAAATAGCGCGCGACTAAAAATAATCTGATCCGAGCTTCCCCGTCCCTGACCGGATTCCGACTTCCTGGACACCCGGTAGACACGGGAACCGCCGGGGAACCGGGACACCGCGGACTCATAGCGTGCCGAGCAGGAAATGCTCGCGGTTCCTTCGGCGTCTCGCTGGGAGGCTGCACAGTTTTCCTCGCACCTAATTGTATCGAACCAACGAATCGTTTGAACAAGATTCTAGAGCAGGTTTTTTAACTTTGACGAGTATACACGTCATCGTAAAGCTTGACATGGTACTAATTCTTTCAGCGAATTCTTTATTTTGTCACGTAAACATGCAATTCTTTGTTTCGCTTTGATCTTTCATTAACACGTTGAGTGCCATGGGCGTCACTGATGACCCCCAATCGAATCGACATACTTTAGTGCGCTCAATGAAACGATGATTATTAAGCTATAACTTATGATTTTTGTAATTTTGTTTGCTGTCAGATCTATAATTCTGTTTAGTGCGGCCTAATCGGCAATCGAAGGGAGTAAGAATCAAACTAGACCAGAATACTAAAATCATTTCTTCCAAGTACCAAACACTTCAAAATACAAGTAGTAACCAAACTTAAAATATAATTCGTCGGAATCTTCAAGGTTTCAATAAATGGGGAACAAGAATTTCGATTCCGTCGTAGAATACTAAAATCATTTCTCCCAAGTACCAAGCACTTCAAAATTCGAGTAGTAACCAAACATAAAATATAATTCGTCGGAATCTTCTTAAGTCTCTTCTCTTCTCTAAGTTTCAACAATTAGAGAACAAGAATTTTAAAATCCGTCGTAGAATAGTAAAATCATTTCTCCCAAGTACCAAGCACTTCAAAATAAGAGCAAATAACCAAACATAAAACATAATTCCTCGGAATCTTCAGAGTTTCAATAATTGGGGAACAAGAATTTCGAAATCCGTCTTAGCGACGTATTCGATGGTTCTGGTCGTAAGAAATATCTGGCTGGAGGAGGTTCGACGGGAGAAAAAGGAGCAGTTCGGCGACGAACGGCTTGGCGTGGGCGTGGGCGGGGGCTGTCGGTAAATAAAAGAAATTCGGGACGCGAAAGGTTACGCGACGGAGATTCCGCGAGCGTTCCTCGGCATCGAGTGACATCGAGGGGTATCGAGGACGTAGCCCTCGAGCTCGTTGTCGACCTCGTCGTTGTATTCAGCGTCGTACGCGTCGTAGTCGTCCGCTTCTTCCTCGTCGTCACTCTCTTTGATGATCCCGAGGCTCTTCGCGACGTTCTTCACGTTGTTGATGACCTCCTCTTGCACCAGATTGAAGCTCATCGCCAGCAAAGCAATTCCAAATAACAAGTACAACGAGCAAACCGCGATCCCTTTGTGCGCGTCGAGCTTGTACGCCGGCACGAAGTCACCGAACCCTGCAACCCCCATCGATTCATCGATCGACGGTGCGAACAGCGTCGATCGCTGCGATTCTCTCGCTTCCATTTCGAACGGTCAACACTGACCGGTCAAACGATCGGTTTTAACGCTAGATTTACGGACATTTGTCATTCAGTTCCTTCTGTCAGCCGAGTAGACATTGATATTCATTTACCCCTTGTAGTATTTACTTTTGCAACTAAACTCGTGTAATATTTTACTATTGACAATTTGGAAGAAATGCAACAAAATTTTCCGTTCTACTTCAAGTGGAAATTTCATTTGAAGATAATACATTGATAATAGCGAAATATTTGTTTGTTTTGATCCGTGGGTAATGAACGACATTGATTGTTGTTAAATTAGTCTAGAAATCTTCGTCACGAGTCTCACTCGTCATTGTACGGCAAGGGGTTAACACGTTGAATGCCACGGGGGTCACCGATGACCCCCAATCAAATCGACTTACTTTAGTTCGCTCAATTAACACTAGAACTGCCGTGCCAGTCAAAATGACTGGTTTCAGTTTTTCTGTTTCGCAATTATTGATATCTTCGAAGCATTGAATATTCGAAATGATTTTGAAAATAAATAGTTTCACTTGAATACTATAATGAATGTCTGAAGAAACCGAAAATAATCTATTACTACAACATTCATAGCGATTACATTTCAATCGTATCAAATGGTCGGTAGTTCTAGTGTTAAACGATGATTATTCGAAAATATTTCTGTATTGTAAATAATACTAATGCGGTGACATTCAGATGAACGTGCAATAATAACAATGCAATTCGATCGAATGATTTAATATTATATTTTTTCATTTTGTGTATTTCGTTCTATAAAATCGTGCGGCATTCAACGTGTTAATTTAGATTTTAGAAGTGAGTTTAACAGTAGATAATTAGGGTATATATTTGTGTAACTGCATCGATGATCGACTCAAAAATTTACTAATTATTTATTACATTCAACATGAAGCAAATTGACTCGTTCCGTAAATCTAGTGTTAACACTATTTCTATCGAAGGTGTCAGAAGTCGCCTTTGCAAATTTTAACTTAACCCTTTGCACTCGAGAGGCGACTCTCAGTCATTTATTTCGATATACCAAAATTCTAAAGTCTTCCATGAAATATTAAGCTTCTATCTATAAACATGTGAAATATTGAAGCGATAACGTTGTGCTTAACTTATGTGTATTCTGTTATTTAATTCTCATTCAGTTCGTTTCAAAGAATGTCGTCTCTCTGAAAGACTTCCGAGTGCAAGGGGTTAAAATTATCTTCTCAGACTAATCATTTTTCCTCAGGGGAATTTTGGACATTTCCTACAGTTAATTGTATAATCGTTATTGAAGTTGAACAGTCGATTTAGAATGTACAACTGAATCTGGAAAATTGTAAGTTAAAGTTGCAAAAGGTGTCTTTCGGTGGAAATAGTGTTAAAGTTTGATAGAAAATTTTCAAAAATTTTCTATGATTCACTTAACCCTCTATAGGCCTGTGCAACTTTGTACTCTCATGTCAACATATTGGCACCTTGTTGATTTATTCAATTTTTCATAGCAAAGTGATGAATGAAATTAAGCAATTAATTAACTGAATGTCATTGTAACTTAAAAATTACAAGGTACACTCGTCTTCATAGAATTATCAAAACTGTTGAATAGATTATTAACTTGTATTTATACACTGATATTTATTAATTTTATATCACATACAGCTTTTTATTGTCGCGAACAAAAATTCGGCCTATAGTGGGTTAACGTTGTACCAATGGAAAATATTAAAATTAAGATACTGGAATGAATTCCGAGTAAGTAGGTAGATTATTGACGTGAATGTTGTGCGACGTACCGATTGTGGTAAGTGTGATGAAGCAAAAGTAAGCGGAATCTAGGAACGGCCATTGTTCCCAGGCACTGAAGAGGAACGCGCCGCCGAATATATAACTGACCACCAGGAACACGCACAGCCAAATGGGCACAGGTTTAATCGGCTGTCTGTAGTCTTCTGTGGTCGTATAATACTCGTAATCCGAATCGAAATCGTCCGCGTAATATTGCCTATGAATTGGCAGGCCCGTGGCCGACATTACTTCCGGTGACAGTGTGTCCCGTCGGTAGGAACGAGCTGGAAAAGGTAATTCGTAAAACATGTATGTAGCATCTTCTAAAATAAATCTCCTTAAATAAAATTATCATTGTATATATATATATTTCATAGCCACAATTTTACATACCTAGTCGACCCAAAATATTTATATCTACTTTAGTAAATCTATATTTGCTAACTCTAAATTTTTTGTGAAATAATTTATCTTCTAAAATAATCAATGTTTCATAAATGGTACAATGGAAATCACGAAAAATAAATAAATAAATAAACTACAGCTCAATCGAATTTTCTAAATACATGTATTTCCGATCTCAATCTTTTAATTATAGAAACTATAGATGCAAGTATTCAATTTTAAAGATAGACTTTCTGATCTATCAATTTTCTAATCTAGTAATGTACTTCATTAATCTAATCTAATTAAAGGATCTATACCTTTGAAATTGAATATTCATATATATTGGTTGATGATTTATTATTTCAAGTGTGTATGATTCATTTCCTGTTGATTAATATTTTATATTCTAAGAACTGGTCTCGACCTGTTAATGTAAAATTAAATCTGACGTAAGTGAATTTTAATTCAACAATCACATCTTCCGTTAGTCATATATTATATAAATGTGACTATTTCTGATTGGTTTAATTCAGTTCAATTCAGTGTTTTCGCAGTTTTAATACATTTTCTTAGAAATACGCGTGGACGCAAAATTCTGCCGTAATCAAAGGGTTAACCCTTTGCACTCGAAAGTTTCTCATTAGAAATATTTCAACGTCTTCTGATGAGATAGAGAGGGTATTTTGTGAAACTAACTCGACGAGAAATCACACTTACGTCGAGGGACGAAGCTATTTTGTTCGAATATTTCTCAAATTGATGCATTGTACGAAGTTTAATATTAAGTATCAAATTTTATAATTTTACTGTATGAAATCAATTGGTGAGTGTGAAGCACCTCTCGAGTGCAAATGGTTAATAAAGTTGCATATTATTTTTTTATACTTGCCAGCAGGATAATTGCTCCTGTAACGCCTGGACCTTGATGACGGATGTCTCCTCCAATTCTCCATCTCCAAGTAAGCCGACGACTGTCGCAGGGGTGGCGCCAAGTTCGTTTTGTAGTTCGTGGTGGCACCTTCGACGGACAGACATCTTCTTGGCAACGACCTTGTGGTGTACTGAACTTGCTTCTCGACGTTGTCAACGTTTTCCGTTGTTTCGATGACCCGCAACTTGCCCGACTTGTCGGTTACTAACATTGAAAAGATATTATTTAACACGTTGACTGCCATGGGGGTCACCGGTGACCCCCGACCAAATCGAATTACTATAGTTCACTCAATGAAACGACGATTATATGAAAACATTTCTATATTATAAATAATGCTGCATAATACAGCGACATTCAGCTAGACGAACGTGGAATAGTAACAATGCAATTCGATCAAATGATTTAACACTAGGTTTACGGAACGCGTCAAATTGACGGATATTGGATTTTAGAAATATTATTCTGTAAATGTTTTCGCCGATTTTGATTGATCCGATCACACTGACATGTACCCCAATTACCTACTATCAAATCTCCAGTTTCCACAAACTAAATAAACGAGCATCAATTCTTTTAGGAATAATAGAATGAAGTGTACAATAAATGCCCGTAAACCTAGTGTTAATATTATATTTTTCCATTCGGCGTGTTTTCCTCTGTGAAATCGTACGGCGTTCAACGTGTTAACTCTTAGCACTCCAGATGGTTTTGTAATCCGTCAGCAACTGCAACTAATTTTTATGGTATCTCCAGTGAAAATGAAAAATACTATAACATACTTTCGATCTTTTAATAAAAATCTAATAATTGATAATATAAAGTCTAATAATATTAGGGTAGTTTCTCTAATTCATTAAAATATTGAATGTTATAACTGGTGCAATAGTGGAGCCTACAGAGTTCAACGTGTTAACACGTCAAATGCCATGTCAGTCACCGAAGACCGACACTTCCGAATTGCTAGAAAATAATTATATGTAAATTAAGTGTTTAACAACGTAAGTTGACAACTATAAAAATTAGTTGCAGTTGCTGATAGATTACAAAACCATCTGGAGTGCTAACGGTTGAAACATTTATATATTCCTTGAGAAGACTCGTTGGAGGAAAGAAAAACCGGAAACTGGGAAGGGAGTTGAATATATTCACCTTCGTTTCCGGCGGAAGTCTGCCATCGTTGCAGCTCGTTCTCCAAGTCGTGCAGAGCGTATTTGTTGCACAAAACCGACGAACGATCCGTGTCATTCGACGCACGGTTCATTAACAATCTTCTGTCCAGCGACTGCGTCATTTTGGGACTGGCTGAATGCAATCCTTAATTAGAAAAAACCACTGTTTGTCGTACAAGAATTACACATTACTTCATTTACTATTTCTTTGTCTCGGTTAGTAACTCTCTAAGAGGTCTTTTCATTATATCTTTTCGTTTTTAGTCTCGTCTAACATCAACACATTGTACAAATCCAAAGAAAAGTTACAAAATCGAATTCCTCATTCTATTTTGTAAGTTACAAATTTCGGTTTGATCGATGTTTAACACTAGATTCACGGACGTTTATTCTACACTTCATTCTATTGGTTCTAAAACTACGTGTTCGCCTATATAAATCGAGAAAATTGTAATTTCAAAGCTAGAGGATTACAATACGTATTCGCACAATTGCACGAATCGGAGTCGACGTAAAGTGCTACTAAATAACGTTTAAAGAATTCAATACCCGTCAAATTGGCGGGTTCTGGGAATCTAGTGTAAAATGTATCAATGTAACCGACGCTCGCGTTTCTAGTAGCTGAAATTTAGCCAGCGTACAATGTGTTAAGTTATCTTACTATTACTTTACGTGGGAAACGGTAGAAACTCTTGTATTATCGCGAGAACCTTGGAAACACAGATATATTTGAATACCTCCAGTTGTTCTCGGGGATTCGGCGGGTATGTCTGAGTATCGTGAAACCGTCGCGGATTTAAATCCAATATTTGGGCTCAAATTTGACGCTCCCGGCGACTGATAAAGGCCCAACCTCTTCTGCTCCATGTCCTCGTAACGTCGGGAATTGTACCTCCATTGCGATAAAAATTGTCTTGAGAAATTCGTTTCATTGGAATTGCCGGTATTAAGGTCGTGTTAACCCCTTGGCCTATGATTTCTTTCTCAACTCGGATCGATACGGCTACTTTGTCATTAATAATTTATTGGAAAAAGAGAAAAATTCTAAGCATATGTTATGCTTATATTTCCTTTTATAATAGTTGATTACAAACTTTGTATAATAGTTGATTACAGAGGAATAATATTTACTTTGAATTCGAATGAACTGAGTAACATATATGTATTTGTTGAATCATGTTGAAAATCTTCACCACGAGTCTCACTCGTTATTATAGAGCAATGGGTTAACACTTTCTTAACCGGCAATTTTACGCAGAAACTATCCCATATCGCCGGTTATTATTCCGTAATTAAATATGAAAATGAAATAATCTAAATAAAGTTTAACAAATTGCGTACCGGCTACTTTCTAGAAAACTGAATTGTTCGGTTTTATATAAAGACACTTAGCTATACAACTTCGCTAATTACCACAGCATTGGAAAAAATATAAAATTTGATACGAATTGATTATTTATTTAAAATACATTACATAACAATATGATATCTGAGTTTTTCTATCTATAGTGTTATAAGTTGACCTCAGTGAAAATTGCCATGCGCACAATTCAGTTTTCTGAAAATTAGCCGGTACGCAATGTGTTAATTGGATATAGTAGAATTAGAAAGCTTTATGTATAATATTAAATTGTTTTGAATAGATTGATATGTGAAATATGAAATATTGTGTTTCTTGTTACTATGTTTCTTAATAGTGAAGAATGTTAATTTATTTCATTGGATTGATGAATATTCCTAGTGAAAAATTATCGAGCGTAAAGAGTGTAGAATGAAGATACGTGTAATAATAATTTTATATTCAAAATGGAAGATAGGAGAGTAATGTGAAATATGAAAATATAGCTTTGTTTCTTGATGTTCATGGTTTCTTAACCCTTTGCACTCAAGGGACGACTCTCAGTCGCCATTCGATTGAACACAACAAAATTGTAAACTGGAAAATTCAATATAAAATGTTGAATCAAGTATTAACAAATGAAACAAAAATAAAACAACTCTGCCCCATAATTTATGTAAGATGTTTCTTTATCTAAGTTGCAAATAATATTGTTAATATTTCGTCAGAAAATAATGAATGCTTGTAATGAAAAATATTGTCGAGTGCAAAGGGTTAATAGTGGATATCGAATTTATTTTGTTGGATCGATGTTTGATGTTCATGGTTTCTTAATAGTAAATGTCTAATGTCTCTAAATATGAATGTCGTTTCTTACCAGTGAAAAATTATCGAGTGTTAAGAGTTTAGAATGAAGATACGTGTAATAATAATTTTGTATTCGAAATGGAAGATAGGAGACTGACGTGAAATATGAAAAATAGAGAAAAAATTGTTGAAATTGTAGGGGGTAATGATATCAATATTCATGTGTTTATATAATTATTATCACTTAATTCGTAAACTCCGGTCATCGGTGACCTAGCAGTCAACGTGTTGAAAAGCGGTTTATGCACTCGGTAATTCTAGCGTCAATTCGTCATACTTGCTGTCCACGTCGGAGAAAGAGGATCTCGTCATGCATTCTGAGAGGCCGAGCGCCGAATCCGCGGATCTCTCGCTGATCCTTATGGACCGTCGAAAGCCGCCCCTACTTCCGCCGTACCGTCTGCCGGAAATTCACTCTCGTTACATTACGTGTGTATCGATCCCAGATTACCCACTTTGCCGATAGTTACCCTGGCTGCCGCGCGGAATAGGATCTGCCGAAATGGGACCTCGGTCGCCTCTTCTTCGGCGGCTTTGTGCACACATAGCAGCAGACCCTCCAATACAGGAATCTGGAAAATGGTGATGACTCTAACCGCGATAATGATAACACGACGTTGTTGGAACTAGTACACACGAGGGGACATCTGTGTAAAGAATATATAAAGGGACTGATTCTGCTCGCGACGCGTTGATGTCAGTTATTCTATACTCGCGGAGATATTGGAGCAACTTGGGTACGTGTTTAGGAAAATGGTGAATTCACGTTTGTTAGAAATTTTATTGTATTGAGGGAAATGGGAAACTTGATAGATATTACATTTTACTGCGTTGAGGAAGGTGGTGAATTTGTTAGAAATTATATTTTATTATATTGAGGAAAACAGCAAATCTGTTAGAAATTACATTTTATTATATTGAGAAAAATAGCAAATCTAAATAGAAATCCTAAGTTCGTCAAAAATGACATATTGCATCTAGAAAACTGATAAATTAAAATCTGTTCGAAGTCCCAATACATTTAAAAAAATGATAAATTCGATAGAACGATGTAATATTAAATGAACTCTAAGCTCTTAATTACCCAATCTTCTTCAATATCACTACAGCGATCAGGTTTTTCCCTTCGATTATTCAATTCGAAGAATTACCGACCACTGGGATCCCCGTTTTTCTAACGGGCGCAATATTTCCAAGGCAAAATATTGCCCAGTAAAAATTCACTTCGCGGGAGAGTTAACTGTCATTGCACCCGGCGGGATTATAATTACCTGAAACTCGACGCCATGATGTCGCCGATGTTGGAAAGGCACAGCAGCATCAGGGGAATCCCCAAGATGGCGTAAAATATGGTCACGACTTTCCCGTTCTTGGTCTTCGGGGCGATGTGGCCGTACCCTGTCGGCCGAGCCGCGCTCGATTACCCTTGCGTAATTTCCCGGTTGCGTAAAGTGTAAGTTAATTGTCGGCCGAGTCTCAAACCGGGAATTTAAAATGAGGCGCCTTTGGGGAAGTCAACGACCCCGCCGCAATTTCGTTCGGCGACAGAATTTTCCCTGCTTTTCAGAGCCCGGCCGGAAACGCGAGCGAAAAAAATGCGAAATTACCTCGCGCCGCTTCGGATTAAACTGTTCGACGTATTTCGTGTAACAAATTTCATGCGAGATATAATTATCGCACGGGAAAATCAATGTTTCAATTCACATTTCAGCCAATTCAAAGCGGAGTCTATTTTTTCTTAGTCAAAGTGTTGCGAATTCGAATAAAGACATTATTCGCCATCGATTATAATTAACTCTGCATTCTTAGGCTCAATGATAATATTCATAGTATTAAATATTTTAATACGTTCGCTACCGGCTTATTTCGATGACAGTTTCCTCAATTATTCCTTCGATCCAATAAATCCAAAATATTCGAAAAATGAAACTGAAACGAGTCACTGAGTTCCTAAATAAATGTCGTGGTTTATAATTTCTAATAACAATATCTCGTTTTCATTATGTAAAATACGGCCGACAAATATATAACACTAATAACGAATGTGTTAACGAATTTCGATTTGAAAATACTATTCTAATATCATCGCACTTGTTCCACGCACACTTTGCCCTAACAAAGAAAATAAAGAATCTAAGCAATCTTATGGCGTAACATTCGTTTGATTTGCTATTTTAACCAGTTAAGTGTGGAATTATTTTGAAAAATCTCTCATTGTGCTAATGAAATTAAAAGTAAAACTAAAGCGAAACGAAGAAGAATTACATGTTTGTCTCAAAAAATATATAATCCATCGTTGGAAAAGTTAGCACCGTTAAGAGTTTTAAGATGACGTGTATACTCGTCAACCACGGGTTAACTAATTAAAATGTTCTGAAGATTCTGATACGTCGGACAATAGGCTGAGTCTGATTACCGAACCGATTACGTGTCTCCTTGGTTGTTTCCTCGAATTTTACGTTTCACGATTGAATACCGAGTGTTCCTCGATTCTTTCCTATTTCGGATCATTGTTACAGCGAAAAAGGAGTGACGAAGTTGCGAAGGTACGGATAGAAGGAGTTCACCTTGATTCGTCGGAAGGTGGACGCCCTCTGAACAGTTCCGTGGCGTTGCGTCGCGTCGCGGGGGAAGGTGGGACTGTACAACGTGTAAATTCCTAGGCAAACGAAACTCGTGATGTCCGCGAGAGGCGTCGAGGCAAGGTTAATATTCGGAAGTGCCATCGAGGTCCAGTCTAGCGATTTCGCAATCGACCTTCGACAGACGTTCTCCGCATCTCGCGGAATCATCTACTAGTCTGGGTCAAGGTCGCCGGGATTCCGCCTTCGAGAGCTTTTTGCGATTAGCATAATCTTACATCCGTTCTGACGCGAGTTCCTCGCAGCGTTTCCGATCTTTCGACGCGTGACCTTCGCATTGATGGAACAATCAACGATTTCAGGCTGAAAGATTGATCTTCGAGGCGAGACACTGAATCAAAATAATGTTCGATCCTTCGGGCTGTCATTACGATCGCTATTATGACAGATGAAGACTGCGATTCAATTTGACGTATATTGAATTTTATAAACGTTGCTCGGTGAGCGGTTTGATTGATCCAATTATACGAACGTGTTTCCCAATTGTACTTCGGAACGTTTAGAACTACCGAACAGTCGAATAGGCTTTTTGAAATTTATCTGTGGAAACTCCAATAGTGCTATTATTGAGATTTCTATTGTACAATTCAGTTTGCCTATTGCTGAACCAATTTCTGCAATTTCTCCGGGAATTATCTGTTGTGTTATTATGAATTAAAGAAGCAATTAGGAATGGGACATTTTAACCTCTATGGTACTTCCAGTGTTAATTCCTAAGATCTAAATGATCGAACATTAAGTTTTCTAGAAGGAAAAGCTGCAATAGTGTAATAGAGTTAAGAAGTAAAAATGGTACTTGAAGGATTGAGTACCGAAAGTCTAAAATAACATGATGGAAATTTGAATATGTTTCAAGTGTTTTCTGCAGAGAGTGCTGTTGCATAGAAGATTTGTTGCTTTTCATGTTTTACGGTAGAGGAGGTTGGTATAGAGGATTATTTCTCAAGAACGGACGGTTGGACGAAGTAATTTAACGACTCGAAAAAGTGAGCGACGAAAAACGGACAAGATAGACCGTATCCGGCGGACGAGGGCCGATCGATCCGACACAAAAGCGGAGCGGATGTTCGACCGGCCAGTCCGATTTCGGAATGCAACTCGGTCACGCGTTATGCATCTCTGGTGCATCCTCCTTGCGCGCGATAAGTCTGCTCGAACGCGTACGCGATCGTTTTAACAGCGAAACAACCGTCAACACTGGGACCATGCTCATTAGATAGTCACTTCCTTCAACTTATAATGAATGACTCGACTTCACTTGGAAGAACGTACTCGGTGCAATAGAATTAACTACAATGGACATGGCATTAATTAACCTGTTGACCGTGGCAGACGAGTTAACTCATCGTTACAGCAACGTCTCGCAGTAGGGATATTAACACATTGCGTACTGGTAACGAGAAATCTCGTTTTTATATAAAGACTCTCAGTTATACAATTTTGATAATTACCACAGCATTTAAGTAAATATTAACACTTTGCACTCGAAAGTTTTTCAATTGAAATATTCAATCCTTTCTAGTTAGGTGAAGACAAGATTCTTTAAAATAAATGTGGTAATAACGGTGTTTAAATATGTTTTAATTTTAAAAAACACAGGAATAGATAATTGAATAAAATACAAATAAATAGAAATGATATAGCTCGCAGTATACAGGTCTTTTCTCTTCTCAGGTCAATGCAACTCTCTCAAATCTCTCGCCACCCGCACTTAAAAATCATTCTCTCCCCCACAAGCATTCTTCTTACTCACACTTCCAACAAATTCTCAAACACACCCCACTCTCACCACCGCGCACTCATCATCCTCGCTTACGCATCCTTCGGAAAAACCCACCAACCCTTGGGCCTGGTCTCCACGAGTCCCTTTCTCTTTTATACTTTTTCAGAAAGTGTGTGAGTGAGACAAGAGTATCTGAGTATACAAATAGTGTGTGCGTTGTTTGATTACTGTTTTATTGTGAGTTGTCAAGATATAATTATACTGTCTCTAATAAAATTCTCTTTCTCCTACAATATTGAACTTTCTATAATGCTTTGATACGTCAAATATTGGAATAAAATAGCTTTGTTCCTCGATATACTTCTGATTTTCTCGAGTTAGTTTCAAGGAATATCGCCTTCGCCTCGTCAGAAAATGTTAACCATTTCTAGTGAACTTCCAAATGCAAAGGTTTAAATATTTTCATTCGACATCGTCTTGTATGTAACCATTACTTTTCAGTCATTCAACAGCGTGAGTCACCAGTGACTTTACCTCCCCTACCGATCAGTTTGCACAAATATATAAACGCACCATATATTTCCCATAATTGTAAAATAAAATCGATACGATATCGTTTCGACTTGTCCGGTGGCTTCGGCGTTACAAAAAGAAGAAACAAAGGATTGAGAAAAAATAACATTGACACGGATTACCGCGAAAGCCAGGAAAGACGGTGAACGCATTGGTGCACGCGATCGTGAACGCAACTCGGTGCCACGTGGGTGGATCTTGCATGGGAGCCGCTCTTTCTCGCGGCTGTCCTTCGCTCTGGGAAAATCCCTGGGCCCGAGGAAGGGGAACGGGCCCATTGCAGGTGGTTCGCCGGCCTCTTTCTTTAAATAAAATCAGTCGAAATGTCGTAACACGTTTGCGCGAAGGAACCGGTGTCCACGCCCCGAAGGACGTCTGCATTGTTTGCACGCCATTAGGACCGCGCAAACATGAGTGAGGCTTCCCTTTACAACGTGACGCAATATCCATTAAATCTGACTATCGTGGACACATTGATCGCGTAACACGACAATCTAATCGCAGGACGTTGAACTTTTCTTGCGTCTAGCCGCGTTTCCGATGTGGTGGAAGATTTAGAAGATTATTCCAACGTTGCAATGTAATTCTCCTTCGGATCATGAAGATTTGTTAAGATTATTATATAATATTCACTGAAAAATTGAGTTTTGATAGCTTAATTGCGGGACATTGAATTTTTCTTGTTCCTAGACACGTTTTCGATGCGTTGGAAGCTTTAGAAGATTATTCGAACGTTGCAATGTAATTCTCCATCGGAACGTGAAGATTTGTTAATATTATTATATAATATTCACCGGAAAACTGAATTTTAATAGCTTAATCTTAGGACGTTAAATTTTTCTTGTTCCTAGCCGCGGTTTCCGATCTGTTGAAAGCTTTAGAAGATTATTCGAACGTTGCAATGTAATTTTCTTTTGGATCACAAAGATTTGCTATGATTGAGAGGATTTGTTAATAGTATTATATAATATTCACCAGAAGACTGAATTTTAATAGCTTAATCGCGGGACGTTGAATTTTTCTTATTCATAGCCGCGTTTCCGATGTGGTGAAAGCTTTAGAAGATTGTTCGGACATTGCAATGTAATTCTCCTTTGGATCATGAAGATTTACTATGATTGAGAGGATTTGTTAATATTATTATGTAATATTCACCGGAAAATTGAGTTTTAATAGCTTAATCGCAGGACGTTGAACTTTCCTTGCGTCTAGTCGCGTTTCCGATGTGGTGGAAGCTTTAGAAGATTATTCGAACGTTGCAATGTAATTCTCCTTCGGATCATGAAGATTTGTTAAGATTATTATATAATATTCACCGGAAAACTGAATTTTAATAACTTAATCGCGAGACGTTGAACTTTTCTTGCGTCTAGCTACATTTTCGATGCATTGGAAGCTGTAACACTAGATTTACTGACATTTATTGTAGTTTGTTCTATTGTTCTCAGAAAACTTGTTATCCGTTCACTTAGATCTTAGAAATTAGAGGTCTAAGAGTAAATAATTAGGATACCTATTTGCATAACTGCGTTAATAAAAATCGACCCAAACATTTACCGAATAATACTTATAAAATTCAATAAATCAAACTGACTCGTTTCGTAAATCTAATATTAAACGATTATACGAACCAATATAATTCTCTTTCAGATCGCGAAGATCTGCTTTGACCGAGAAGACTCGTTAACATCATTACATAAAGTTCACCGGTAAACTGAATTTTAATAGCTTCCCGCTCCCCAGTCTCGTATCTCGTTAAATCGTAACAAAGACACGCGCAGACGTAATCAAAGTAAAACTCGATCTTCTTAACAATAATCCTTCCTACATTCCAAAACTAACCAGTGCGATTTTCAATGAATATCATCTATCTATTCCTCCGGTCAGATTTTGAGAAGAGAACGACAGCGAGAAGGTTAATCGACGAGATCGCCACGCGGGAGGTTGGAAATCGGGGGAAAGCGAGTTAGGGGTGGCCGCCCGTAACTTCTTCTCTCGCGGATGAAAAGTGAATTTCCTGCGGGGCTGGGTGCGCTACTGAAAATGACCTTGATCATTGAATTTTCTTGCCGGAGAGACCGTTTGATCATGCCTCCGTGCCGCCGCCTTCGAAATAAAATTATACGGGGACCGAGTGGCCGGCCATTTTCCTTCCTCCTATCAAAGATTCCTCCCCGGGCCTCTGATACGATTTCCTCGGTCTCTCCGTGGCGATCGAACAGCGCGAGCATGTCTGTAATTTCTTTATCGCTTCGAATCGGAACCACTTTTATCAAGGACTCTTATATTTCACGAGAGAGAGAGAGAGAGAGAGAGAGAAGTTTCCCGATTTCATTACACCCCGTTCTCGCTGTAACCATTTGTTTGGTCACTCCTAGACCACCATTTGTAACCACTTCCCCATCAAATTTCCGAGGAATAATTATACTTTTGAAATCCCCCGGATTTATAGGCCACCATTATCGCTGCACCCCCAGGACAGTAGGATTCTCCTACCACCACTTTCTTTTATTTCACCCCCCTGGTACTTTGTGGTAATTTAAGCAGAATGCCTTCTGCGCGGAGAACACGCTTGTTCTCTGAATTCTTGGGGAAGACGTATAAGACTTAGTTTCTGTGGAGCCTAGGAAGCTCTTATTCTGGGGAAGGGTGAAAGATTTTATTAATCAATTTCATGTGCTGCGATGATACGTGTATGTAAATATTAAATATAGAATATTAAAGTGTATACTGTATATTATTAAATCCTTGTTTTGTAAAGTCGTTTCAATCTGAAAACTACCCTAATATTTAATAATGAATAGAAAAGTGTTGGGAAATTAGGTAACTAATGAGCTAAATATGTAGGATTGAATATTAAGAATTTTATCAAATCTTTTTGATATAAATAATAATAGTAAATAATACCTGTACCTAAGTAATTATTAAATATAGAATATTAAAGTATACTGTACATTATTAAATGCTTATTTTGTAAAGTCGTTCCGATCTGAAAGCTACTCTAATACTCAATAATGAATGGAAAAGTTGGCAAATGAAGTAGCTAATGAGCTAAATATGTAGGATTGAATATTAAGAATTTTATCACATCTTTTTGATAGGAAAAATAATAGTAAATAATACCTGTATCTAAGTAATTATTAAATATAGAATATTAAAGTACACCATACATTATTAAATGCTTAGTTTGTAAAGTCGTTCCTTAATAATGAATAGAAAAGTGTTGGCAAATGAGGTAGCTAATGAGCTAAATATATAGGGTTGAATATTAAGAATTTTATCAAATCTTTTTAATCAGTTGACGATCCTTATCTACGGTAATGAGCAAGAAATACAGCGTAGACAGGTAACGAGCTAAACGTGTACATTAATTATTGAAATATCCGGAGCAAACACAGCGTTACCCTTGCACTTCGACATCAGTCAAAGTGTTTAGCCGGTTAAAGGGTACATCACCCCGTGCGAACGCTGTTGATGCGAGATTGCTATCGAAGGGGGCCTCGAAGCGAGCCTAGCCGTGCGTTCACCTTTCAACGGTGCATATATAAAGACACGGATTCACTTTCACTCTCGTTTAGTCGTGTGCCGGTGATATTCGGCGGTGAGCTGTGAGGCTGACCGGCTCCAACAGAGACCACGTACCTACTCGCGATCGAAAATCCCGGTGAACCGATAACATGAAGGCACTGATCCTCGTCTGTTGCGTCGCCGTCATCGAAGTGCACGCGGAAAATGACGGATGGGTTTGGAAAGACGGCCAGCAGCACGGTGAAAAGAGGAACGACGACAGAAGGTGCGTTTCACTTCTTTGAAATTCTAATTATCTTGATACGGCCGGGATTAAAGGATGTTTACTGTGCTGAGGCGTTGCTTTTCAAGTTTTAACTTCAAATATTTGGATATTTCAGTATCTTAACTTCAAATATTCGAATATTCGAATGTTTGAACTTCACGTGTTCGAATTTTCGAATGTTTTGACTTTATATATTCAAATATTTTAATATTTTAACTTAAAATATTCGAATATTTCAATATTTTGACTTCAAATATTCGAATGTTTCAATATCTTAACTTCAAATATTCGAATTTTTAATATTTTAACTTCAAATATTCGAATTTTTAATATTTTAACTTCAAATATTCGAATATTTCAATATTTTAACTTCAAATATTCGAATATTACAATACTTTAACTTCAAATATTCCAATTTTTAATATTTTATTTTCAAATATTCGAATATTTCAATATTTTGACTTCGAATATTCGAATATTTCAATATTTTAACTTCATATATTTGATTTCAATATTTTAACTTCAAATATTCAAATACTGCAATATTCTAACTTCAAATATTCAAATATACAAATATTTCAACTTCGAACATTTAAATTTTCGAATGCCTCAACTTCAAACATTCAAATACTTAAATGTTGTAACTTCAAACATTCAAACTTCCGTCTGCTTCACCTTCAAACATTCAAATATCCAAATATTCCAACACGGAACATTCAAACACCGCAATCCATCATTAAACTTTAAGAATATTCCGTTCCACTTTAAGTAACCGTGTACTTGTAGTTTCAATCGACAATAAATTATCGATTCATTAATTCATTTAATACATTGCTCATTTTACATACTCAATATACTATTACTATTCGCGTGGTCGAGTTGCAGGTACCTGATACACGAGAACCTAGAAGATTTGGAGGAGAGACCTTTGATAGGATTTAGACCACAAAATGGCGGACCTTACGGTCCTAATAGTAGACCCATTGTGCCAGCATCGTATCCTGGCAACAATGGAGTTCTTGTCGGTCCTGGCGGGCCAACTGGCATTGTAAAAAGGTATTTGTATCATCTCGTTGTATTCCAATCCAATAACTTCGTTCCTACGTTCCCTGCTTCATATTGATACTTTCTACCATCTTTACTACGAACGTATTCCGTTCACATAATGAAATCTTCCGAACATCGAATATCTTCATTTAATGTACTTTACGAAGTTTAACCAGTTAACACGTTCCGTGCCACGTGTACTATTTGTGGAGGAAATATTTTTTGTGAAACATGTGGCAAAGAATAGCAGTACACATTGCGAAACAGCGAAAACATGAAAAAATAATATCAAAATATATATAAAAGTCACCAAAAACTTTAATGTAACGTAATATTTCATTTAAAATATCAGTGCACTCATAAGCATGATATAACCGAAATTTCCAGTGGCACGGAATGTATTAACTGTGGAATTTAGTTGGAGAAACCTCTTGTTCTTCGCGCAATAAAATAAAAAAATGGAGCGTCTACTCATCGAACGCAGGACGAATGTACGTAGCGTATATTTTAACACGTTGAATGCCGTCCGATGTGATACCTCAAAATACACAAAATCGAAAGAATCAAATATTAAATCATTCGATTGAAACGCATTATTATAATTGCATCTAGCTGAACATCACCGCAGTGGCATTATTTATGATACAGAAATATTTTCTAATAATCATCGTTTAACACTAGAACTACCGAGCATTTGATACGATTGAAATATAATCGCTATGAATATTGTAGTAATAGATTATTTTCGGTTTCTTCAGACATTCATTATAGTATTCAAGTGAAACCATTTATTTTCAAAATCATTTCAAATGTTCAATGCTCCGAAGATATCAATAATTGCGAAACAGAAAAACTGAAACCAGTTATTTTGACTGGCACGGCAGTTCTGGTGTTAATTGAGCGAACTGAAGTAAGTCGATTTGATTGGGGTCACCGGTGACCCCATGGCACTCAACGTGTTAATGAAAGATCAAAGCGAAACAAAGAATTACATGTTTATGTGAAAAGATAAAGAATTCGCTGAAAAAATTAGTATCGTGTCAAGCTTTACGATGACGTGTATACTCGTCAAACACAGTTAACTGGTTAACCCTTTGCACCCGAAAGTTTTTCACTAGAAATATTTCAAGATTTCCTAACGGAATAAAGACAACATTTTATGAAACTAACTCGAAGAGAAATCACACGTACATCGAGGAACGAAGCTATTTTATTTCAATATTTCTCAAATTGATGCATTATACAGGGTATAATATTATTAACCCCTTGCCGTACAATGACGAGTGAGACTCGCGATGAAGATTTCTAAACCAATTTAATAACAATCAATGTTGCTCATTACCCACGGATCAAAACAAACAACTATTTTGCTATTATCAATTTATTATCTACAAACGAAATTTCCACTTCAAGTAGAATGGAAAATTTTGTTGCATTTCTTCCAAATAGTTGATAGCAAAATGTTACACGAGCTTAGTGGCAGTAGTAAATAGTACGCCAAGGGGTTAATAACAAATTTCATAGTTTTACTGTATGAAATCAAGTGGTGAGTGAGAGGAACCTCTCGAGTGCAAAGGGTTAAAGAGTTTTCGTTATATTTTCAATTGACATTCGACATGTATTTTCCGATACCGCAGACCTCCTTATTACGGGGGAGTAGACGACGGATCGTTGGAAGCCGGTTACGTGCCGCCTTGGATCAAAAATGATCCCCGATATCGAGATCTGGACGTGTGTCGGTGCAGATACAGCTTCAACTGTCCGTCCAACGGACTAAAATTCGTGAGTGTCGAGACAGGAGTGATTCCGCGTACCATACGGATATATTCCGAACGATATTCCCGAACATTTTTATTTCCAGGGAAGCTGCTCAAAGGATAAGAAGTATTGCTGCTTTAGCAGTAGGAAGTACCCGACTTTGGTCAGTGGTCCCTCCGGCGGAGGACATTTTCCGCAGCAGGTGCATTGAACAATGATTAGAAACGATCTATGATAGAGCTATAATATTTTCATGAATATTATAGCATTTAAAATAAAAAACAGAAACTAGAAAAATCAATTAACCATTACTATAATCTTCGTTATTAACCCTTTGCGGACGAACGTCGACATTTTGAGATGAAACGTTCATATTTGGAAGACTCAGGCGTATTATCGTTAAATTATTTTCAAACATATCTCGTCAGAAAATGTTGAATATTTCCATTGAAAAACTTTCGAGCGCAAAGGGTTAATACTACCGCCCACCATTGCAATTCGTGTTTACAGAAAACAGTCTTCTATATTTTCCATATTTTCAATCTCTGTATCTCGAAAAGACTGCAATGAATTTCCTTTATATCCTGGAATTAGTCTAATTGCCTCTGTGCACGTTCCAGGGCTATCCCAATAAATACGGGCCATCGGGCTTCGTGCAATCGCCGAATTACTACGGAAACCGAAGACCGCCGGGAAATTTGAACGCTGGAAACAGATACCCCCCTGGGAACTACCATTATCCTGGAGAGAGCTACAACCACTACCCGAGACCCCAAGGAAATCCTTACGGGCAAAGCCACGACTACGACGACTACGACTTGTACAGTCGATCTTTGAAGAAAAATGAAACGGAAGCCGCTGCGAACTCCGGCGAGGAGGCTTGAACGTCTTACAGTCTCCTTCCACGAGTTCGCATCCGGCTTCATAAAAGTGACTGACATTTTTTATCTATTTTGTATAGTGTAAAGAAAATACCAAAGAACGACGTGTATTTTCCAGTATTGGTTATACGAATCGAAATTACGCGAGACGCGAGCAAGGCGATTAACGCGTTCAGTGCCACGTATACCATATGTTATACGCGAATTTGTGTAAGAAAATATTTTTAACATTATTTCTACCGAAGGTGTCAAATGTTATCTGAAATTTTATCTTAACACTTAGGCGACCGCCTAGAAAGAACTATAACTACAACCTTCTCCATTATCTTCAATTGTACTCATTCAATTAATTTAGTTAAAAACTATGTTTTGAAAAACAAGAACCGTATTTGATGAATTGCAAGTAATCCCACGTCAAGACTTACTAAATAACAAAAGAAAAGATAAACAGAGTAAAAGGCAATACGTTGGTTGGCTAAGTGTTAACACATTGTGCTAAATTTCAGCTACTAGAAACGCGAGCGTCGGTTATATTGATACATTTTACACTGGATTTACGGAACCCGTCAATTTGACGGGTACTGAATTCTTTAAACGTTATTTAGTGGCAGTTTACGTCGACTTTGGTTCGAGCAATTGTGCGAATACGTATTGTATTCTAGCTATATCCTCTAGCTTTGAAGTTACAATTTTCTCGATCTATATAGGCGAACACGTAGTTTCCTAGAACCAATAGAATGAAGTGTGGAATAAACATCCGTGAATCTAGTGTTAAACATCGATCAGACCGAAATATGTAACTTCCAGAAGAGAATAAGAGATTCGATTTTGTAAGTTTACTTTGGATTTGTGTTGTACATCTAAAATGTTACATGAACGTAGGATTAGCAATTAAACGATAGACTAAAAAACCCGCATTATCGCGTGCAATATATTAAAATTATCTTTCGAGTTCAGTTGTATATTCTGAATCGACCTTTCGACTTCTCCAGTACCGATTATAAAATTAACTGCAAATATGCAAAATTCAATTGAGGACAAATTATTACAGAGAGAATAATTTTAAGTTAAAACTTAATGGTATGCGTTACAAAGCAGCGAGAACGTAGAAGAGCAATTATGAAAATATATCAAAATTACCAGAAACTCGAATACAAGTTGATATTTCTTTAAAAACATCAATGCGGTTTGCAAGGAAAATATAACCGAAATGTCCGTGGCACGGAACGCGTTGAACGAATCTTTTCTGTTTTGTATTGCGTACGACACTCGTATTTACGATAAACGCGTAAACGATTGGCAATAAAAAATTGTGAATGTGAATCGAGAAAGGTTGCGCGCTATGAAATGATTGACAACGGGGACTCACCGATCGTTGTAATCACCACGATCGAGTAAAATAAAGCGCCGGCGAACGTCCACTGGATATCGTCCTCGCCCTCCCTGCCGTCCCAGCCCTCCTTCTCCATCATCCACACCAGGTTGTTCTCGAAACTCTTTGAATAGCAAATAGTCCACTCACGACAGAAAAAAAAGGGAGGATATTCGCAGGTTCAGCGTGTAACCCGTTACCTTTAACTCGCGTAAGGCTTTATCCGTCCAATTCTCGCGGATCAGGACCTCCACGTCCTTCGTGATCCTCCATAATTGCTCCGCGACGTCCCCTCTTATGTCCTTGATGCTCTTCTTTATCTGGAACGCATAGAATGAATGGTAAACGCTGTTCCAAGCTCGTGATTCTTGTTTGGTTTGCTTTGGATTTGTTAACGGCAAGAGTCGCCATTACGTGAAGTATGGAACACGGATGTGTAGAAATATCAAGTTATTGTTACTATTGTTGCTGTCGCTGGTGCTGTAGCTGTTGCTGTTGCTATTGATATTGCTATTGCTATTGATATTGCTATTGCTATTGATATTTCTATTGGTATTTCTATTGCTATTGATGTTGCTATTGATATTTCTATTGGTATTTCTATTGCTATTGATATTGCTATTGATATTGCTATTGCTATTGCTATTTATATTGATACTGATATTGATATTGCTACTGCTGTTGCTATTGCTATTGCTATTGATATTGCTACTGCTACTGCTATTGCTATTGCTATTGTTATTGCTATTGATATTGCTATTGATATTGCTATTGATATTGCTACTGCTGTTGCTATTGCTATTGCTATTGATATTGCTACTGCTACTGCTATTGCTATTGCTATTGTTATTGCTATTGATATTGCTATTGATATTGCTATTGATATTTCTATTGGTATTTCTGTTGCTATTGATATTTCTATTGATATTGATAATGCTATTGCTATTATTATTGCTATTGCTATTGCTATTGATATTGATATTGATATTGATATTGATATTGATATTGCTTTTGCCATTATTACGATTTCGGTAATACCTCCTTCTCATGCGTCGCCTCAAGCGCCTCGAACGCGTACGCGCCAATAACGCAGTACAACACCACCAACGAGATCAGGAACACGTGGGAGAAAACGCATCTGAAGAATTTCCAAAGGAGACGCAGGAACCTGATGCACTTAGAAGGTTTCTCTGCCTCCATCACGAGATCGAACGCTTCCGGTCGCTGCCGCGGCATCTTGGTTCCTCGTTCGAGGCGATCACCCTTGAATTCCTTCCCTCAACTACCCCATACACCTTTCTTACCCTTAAATTCTTCCTTACACTTTATCACTCGCCGCGCATGCTTCAAAGATTCGTTAATAAATATTCCTCTTTGCCGAAGACAACATACACTCGCACGTTATTTGCGATTTTGACGCAGGTTTCGCGGGTTTCATGGTTAATTTTAGTGTTTCAAGGTTTACGAAGACGAGTCTTGATAATCGGATGAGCGATAAAGTGATCAATCACTAATTTGATAGGTTTAATTATCTTTCAAGCGGGATAAACGAGGATTTCACCGGTGAAAGGTAATGTTTCAAGGATGACGGAGACACGTTTTCGTTGTTCGACGATCAACAGAGTGAAAAATTGTCGTTAACACGGGTTTAATTTTGTTTAAGCAGGTGTATTATGGTTCGTCCGGTTTGACATCGCGATGGCGACGCTCGAGAAACCATCCTCGACGCGAAACTGCCGCGGATACCGTGAAACACGGCCGTGTTCCGGCCGAGACGAGTGTTCCAAATTTATCCCGTCTATGCCGCCGGCGAAAACTTCGTTCCGGGGCGAGCATTTACCAGCGGTCCACCTACGACGTCGATGAAAAATACGAGTTCCTCACCTTCGATTGGTCCCTGCCTCGGCGTGTCTACGCGCCGCGTTCCTCATCTTCGCAAAATAAACACTTCCATGTCCGCGTTTCAGAGCACGCTTCTATCTGGATCATTCGAGTTCGAGGAACATCTGCGAGCGGAATCGTTAAACAATGCCATATGTTATTTATTAAATTTCTAAAATTTCTTGATTGTTGCAGTCACATTTTAATATCGTTTAATATTGGGTTGGAATTTGATATTAGGTGTTAGGGATATTATAACATGACAATGATTGAGATATTTATTTGCAATAAATTGTTTTTTAATATTTGATAGAACGTTGGAATAACGGGATACTCGAGTATTACAAGTATTCAGTAAACAATTACATTTGTTACACTTACTTGCAGAAACGGTGAAACTATCTGTGGCCCCATCTGTGGCAGAAACGCTAAGCTACTCGTTACTTTCCTACTCCCGTTGCTAGGTGAAGCTGTTCCGCTCTTCTGGTGCTCGTTCAATTAAGAAATTAATGAATTGAAGTAAAGGAACACGTGTCTACAATTATAAATATAAAATTCACCTCGAGTTCCCTCGAATATCCTCTGTTCAGGGATTCTTTCAAATTCGATTCGCCGAGGTTCTCCACGAGGCAGCACCGCCATCTTGCAGCAACGTGATTGTGCAAAGCGGAACCGTTTGTTATTATAATTACTGTACAATCTACTATTGATAACTGAAAAAACACATAATTTACAACTACACAATCGCATACAGACAGCCAATAAATAATCAATCTTCGAAATACAGTCACGGTTTTATATAGAACTCAAGAAAATCGGTCTTCGCGAAAGACAATCCGTACGTATTATTTTCTATTCTACAGGAAGCAAAATTTGCATAAACATGTTGGCTACTATTTTCCACATCGGCAGGAAGTCAAAGTTGCATAAACACTTTCAGCAGAAACGATCAACCAAGAAATTCAACGGAACAAAGTGGGACAAAGAGCAGATACATATTACATACTTGTTTTCGTACATCGCGCGTGTGCTTACGCGAAATAAAAGAATCGAAAGGATCCGTGGGAAACTGACAGGTTCTCTCGTAATAGTTTATTAATATGCCAACCGACTTTTCAAGTGTATTTACAATAGTAAAACGAAAAGGTCGATCATCGACTGAGCTGAGAGGCGTGTCTAACGGTTTTAGGCACATCGATTTTTCGGTTTCGCCCGACAAAAGCGTTCCGTCTCCCCAGCGAATAATCGCTCGCATTTTTTCCCATCGGCACTCGAATGCCGCGAATACCGCAGGCGAACGTTCCGGCCGAAGAAAGCGAAACCGAGCGTGTAAATATTCGTTTTAGACAGGAATATAGATATACATATATATCGTCATCAGTCTGATCATTGAAACCGGTCCGCCAGAACAATGATACTCACACACGCGCGCGCGCGACTAATCGCATAATAATAGAAACCTAACCGGTCGATAGAACGCATAAAAGACCACTGTGAGCATAAATATTCTTTATAAAATAGACATGTATATTATATATATATATTTATATTAAAATAAATATATATATATATATTTATATTTGTATATATATATATACCGTTCGTTTGACGAGTAAAGTTCGTTTAACCCCTTGCCGCACGATTTCCTATGCAACTATAATTTGTTTCACCTACTATTAATTACTTGAAATTGGAATTTTCGTAGAGATTGATTACAAATGACGGTGAAATATCGATAATGTCGATGTACAACGAGTAACATTGATTTTCGGTAAATCGAGCCAGCTTTTATTAAGAGTCTCACTCATGATTACAGGGCGGAGGGTTAATGATTAATAATAATTGTTTAACAACCATGGTGGAACGTCAATCGCGCTCTCACCCACGCTGCAAGAACACAGTGCTTCCGCGACGGCCGAGCGGGGTCGATCGTATCGTGTAGAAAGCGATCGAGGTTCACCATGCCAAAAAGAACAGAGACACGGGTGGAAAGCTTGAGTCGTTCCACGGATGCACTTTCGTTCGCTTCTCGAAACGATATTCTTGTCGACGGAACGAGTCTGTACGGCTCGCGCGAGATTGCAAGTCACCGGCAGAAATTGAGCTTCGGTGGTTCCATTGAAGAATTCTCGTGCGAACGAGAATCGAAATTTCAATCAACTTCGATCGATCAAACTGTGTAATACCCGCGAATTATTTATGAGTCCATTGTTTCCGGAAACTCTTGTTAGAAGTTTCGAACAATTCTCGCGTTTTCTTGTTTCAACGCGATGGGAGACGTTGGAGGACAAAGGTTTATCGATATTGAAACGCTGAAGGCTTTTTGAAGCTTTTGAACAGTTCAGAATAAATATTGATCTTGTTCTTTTACGATTTTGATACTTGGAGAATCGTGTAAAGTATCACAGTTTCGTAGAGTTGATTAATTCAATTGAATTAACCCTTTGCACTCGAGGGCGCCTTTCAGTCGCCATTTGATTTGACCTAAGAAAATTGTAAAATTTAAAATTCAATATTAAATTTTTATATAACACATCAACACGTGGAACGCCGAAATAAAATAGTTGTATCTCTTAATTTATTCAAGGTATTTCTTTATGTTAGTTGTAAAACACATCATTGATATTTCATCAGAAAATAATGAATATTCGTTGAGAAAAATATTCTCGAGTGCAAAGGGTTGAAATAATAGCAAATTTAATCGGCAAATCTGCTCCGTCGAACTTAAGTACCGTGGCGTCGGGTATCAATTAAAAGATGGCGTATGCCGAACGGAATTCCTGAAAGGCTCGATCGCATAACTTTTTGAGGCCCGTACGCGTTGACGCGATTTATTTCGTGTCGTCCTCCGCGTACGTGACCGGACTTAATCGACTCGACTCGTGCATCCCTGGAACAAGAAGCTTTCGCAATGCGCGAGTGGTCGTGGGATTTTGGGACGAGTGCAGCGACTGGTTTACAGGAAGCTCGAAGCCACGCTGCCGATCGCAGACTACGGACCGCCATTTTCGTGCCCGCGGACGGATGGTACATAGAAAAACTCGAGGAACAATTGTAACTTCTCGTGTCATGTAATAATTAGAATTATTTATAATTATCTGCCGTTGCTCGAGAGTCTTGTGCATTATTGTCTTCACTTATAAGACGTTTATATAATTACTTATAATCGTCGACGTTAATTCCTTCCGATACGAGGCACGTACAATATTAGAATAAGCATAATCTGTTAACTTCTATATTAATTATTGTCTAACCACGCGAAGATTTCTATGTCTACTTTAAGGCTTCCTTTCTCGGTAGAATATTAGTTTCTGTATATCAGGACTGCGCTAGTCCAAAAGGCACGTACACATTGACTTCTATCGATAACAATCTACGTGAAGCAATTAGAGTCTTTTAACCTTTAATCCCCGTGGGTATAATTTCATTAGCGAAATTTATTTAAATCACCGAAACTGTAGGTACTCGGCAAACATTCAGAGAAAACTAGCTTATGAATCGACCGATTTACAGTTTACACAATCCGTGTTTGCTGTAAACATTGCATAACCGCGGTCTAGCCAGATGTCTCTCCGGCTTGTGCACACGGAATCCCGATAATTACTTTCAACGTGCCGTCCACGACGTTTCAGAAACTTCGTCGTCGACTCCTGCGCAAGCGGAACGTTCGTTTTCAGTCTTTTCAATGAAATCTCGGGGACGGTCGAAAATCCGCGACAGGCAGCGTGTCTCGCGCGGCATTCCCTCCCTTCTCCCACTCCGTCCAGTCGTCGTTCCTCCCCGTTACCCGTCAAGAGATAAGAGACAAGGGAAGTAGTCGAAATGCGAGTTTCTAGTCTTCGCAAAGGGTAAGTCTAAGTAGCGCTAAAGGATAGATCTCAATTAAACAGTATCGTCACGCGTCAGTATCATAAATGCGTACTCGTGGTCTACGTAGTGTAACGACGAGCGTCGGTCGGCGACGCGAACCGAACCGATCGATTCACGCCCGTCACCGATCGCTCTAGGACGAAAGAATGGCCAGACTTAAGGTACGATCGAAATGCTCGGAAAATTCTTGCCATTCCCGGCACGTCTCCGCGCGGCTGGAGCGGCACGAATTTCCTGATCAACCGGACCGAACGAGGCTCGATAATTTCGTGCCGCTCGCGACGCAAGCAACCACGCGGAACCCGGCACGAATCGCTCGAGCGTCGCACGATAAGTTTACGCAAGTCCGACGACTGAATGCTAAATACAAGCAAGGTCGATCCTCGCGAACCCCTGCCGATTTAGCCGTGATCGCGACTGGCAAATCGAGCCTCGTTTCGCAAAATCTCGACCGCAAATGGCGTTGCGCAAGTCCTTGGAATCGTCGCGGACACCCGATACTTTTTAGCCGGAGGACCGCCCGCACTTTTCACGGAACACTTCACAAACCGGTCACTGATCCTGCTCGGGCGAGGGACGACGTTTCCCAGCGACGTTTTCGGCCCTACCATCGCGACGCTCGATTTTATACAAAAAAGACAATCGCCACGGTAGAATTATGATCTGACAAGGCTGACATTCGCAGGAACTAATCGATCCATCAGAGTCTCTGTGAACGTTGCTGGAAGCGATTCTAGTATTTCGAGCTTCGCCACGACTTTCTCAGGAGCTACCCCGGTTGGCATTAGACACGGTAGTCTAGGAAATTTCAATGCAATTTCGAGAGTAATTCGATCGTATCTTCGAAGCAACGCGGAGGATCCAATTTCGATCAGAATTCGATCGAAACTCGTGGCAAACTGGAAAACTAATCCGGCGAGGTTTATCTCTACTGTCGCAAACTCCATTCGATCGCACAGCCGTCGAGCTTCGTCGAGCTTCTCTTCGCTGTTTCCAGAGAGTCCAACGGAAAGCAAGACGAAAAGCGGCCGAAATCTAGCGAAAGTCTCTATTCCAACAGCTGAGGAAGCTGCGGGGCAGCTGGGAAAGGAAAAGTGGCGGGTAGCTCGAAACTGCGCGTCACTTCGCGCTAGCTGGGCCTGAAGAATCCCAGGCTCTCGAGTGTCCTGGTGACCCTGTCGATCAGCTGGTCCCTGTACCGCCATATCGTCGTATCCAACACGCTGTTCTCTCTGTACTCGACGCAGGTCTTCTTCAGGGACTTCACGCAGTCTGCCCGGTAGTGCTGCAGCTGCGCGTCTTCCGTCTCGATCGGGTAGCTGGTGCATCCGCCGCCCAAACAGGCCAACGGGAAATGGTTGTGCAGGGTCACCACTCTTTCCGGGTTGTGGAAGCACTTGATGTATTGGTTCGGCTTGGTGAAGTTCTTCGAACGGTACACGTGCTGCAGCATGTGCATGTACCTGCGAACAGACAGTCGTGTTTTCTGTGAGGACACCCTGTGCGTGGCGCGATGCGCGAACCGTTCTTCGAAATCCGTCGAAATCGGAGGAAATGGGAGTGGTTTTGTGGGGTGGACTGGCGTTGCTCTGTGAAACCTGACGCGAATGTTTGAAACGTTTCACCTGGTAGAGTTCAAAGGAACATGTACGGTATCGTAATAGTATATTAGCTTGTTCTAATTTGTTAACGAGTTGGAACAACAATCTATGCTTGAAGTTGCGAGCATAGTTTCTGAATTGAGGAAAATTTGAATTTGTGATTTGTAAATTAAGGAAAGTTCATTTCTTTCATTACTGATATGTAATAAATATATAAATGGTTTTAGAATTTAACACTAGAACTACCGAGCAAACTTTTTGAAATTTCTCTGTAGAGACTAATTGGCGTAACTATTGAAACTTCGATTGATCACTATTACTTTTTTAAAATCAGTTTCTCTAGTAATTTCTCAGAGAAGCATCCGTTGTCTTTACATTAACTGGAAAAATGAAATTTTTAATGCACGATTTTGACAAACTTATTCTTCCGTTTCGCGTTGGAACCCCTTCACCAAGTGAAACGGACTTTTCTCTACACTCCACCCAATCGCTACGTAACCGAATGAATCTAGGTGAAGGTCAACTAACGGAGTCAACGAGGTTCAATGTCACCGGGATCCCCGAGATATCCTCATCAAACATTCAAACAGGCCGCGCATTCTCGGTGGAACTTCATCGGGAATAATTGATTCCTCCCCTCGAGGACCACAGCAACGTACAGCGGCCGATCCCGGGATCGTTAACACGTTACGCAACGCGACAACGGCGTCGTAAGGGTCGAGTAAGCAAGTAACTACGGTAGAACCTTGATTATTCGATTTAACCGGGCGACTAACAGTCCAGACGAATACAGTCCCGAGAAGAAATTCTTCGAAACATGTTCGCAGGATTCGATCGTGCACGTTTGAGCTACGATTTAACCCTTTGCGGACGAAGATTCTCTAAAGTATACAAAACTTTCTGTAGATTCTGCCAAATCACACATTGAATAACTAAATAATATAAAATAAAGAAATTATGTACTGATTTCTTGCTGTTTGAGTAGTTGAATCATTTGTTTGCAACTTAATCTTACAAACATGAATGTTTGACCTTCGCAGGGTATCGACATTCTTACACAAAGGGTTAACACGTTGAACGCCGCACGATTTTGCTGAGAAAAATATACAAAATGAAAATGTGACAATTTATGTAATCGGATTATGTTATTATTATTGCAGGTTTATCCTGTCGACTGTCACTGCATTAGGCGGTATTACAGTTGAACCTCGATTTACGCGGTACATTGAAACACTATTTACGCGGTAGTTTTTACGCGATCTGAATTTAGTAATAGCGAATAAAATATACTTTCGTTTTCTAAAATGTCATTATTATTTCTTTCGTTAAGCTATGCGAAATAAATATTTCAATATTTTTCCTCTTGCACCGACAGGCTCTCACGCGATTTCCGTTCGCGTGAAACGAGCCCACGTGGAACGGATTTTCGCGTAAATCGAGGTGTCTTGTAATATAGGAAAGTTTTCAAATAACCACCGTTTCGAATGAATTCTAGTGATTCGATTCGGCAACGTGTTAATACATTAAGGACCGCTAAGAAATCTATAAGACACGCCTAGGACCGCACGTTTTTGGGCAAGCTTGCACGTTACTAAAATCCTCACTTTTTTATTTATGAAGCAATTTCTACGAAACTTTCAGAAATTGTAAAATAGGATGTATTTCAGGCAATTATTAAAAAAATTGGTTTTTAACACGTTCCGTGCCACGGAAACTCTGGTTATATTTTGCTTATAAACTGTATTGAGTTTTTCAATAAAATAATAAGTTATATTCAAGTTTCTGGTGGTTTTTATATATTTTGATATTGCTTCTTTATGTTTTCACTGCTTTGTAACGTATACCATGTATCCATTAAAAATATTGTCTTACAAACGTCGGCGTGTACCACATGTGGTACACGTGGCACGGAACGTGTTAATAATTATGATAAAAATTTATTTCAAAATCAATTTCATCAAAGTTTCTAGCACCTAAACCCTTTGAGGACGAATGTCGACATTTCGATCAAACGAAATTTTCATATTTGAAATACTAAGCTGCAAACGAATGATTTAATTACTTGAATAGCAAGTGACCAATGTATAGTACCCTTTTTTATTATTGTTTAAGCATTCGATGTATAATATAGCTTCATACGTTGCAAGCTTTGTGTACTTTACAAGTCTTCGTCCGCAAAGGGTTAAAAGTATGATATATAGTATGCAGCACGAGAAAACTCGTGAGCGGTCCGTGACAGATGGGGCGCGAAACACGAGAAAACTCGGTCCTTAATGTGTTAAGAATCCGACTGATCCATCACCTATCTCATACGAGAGTCCCTAGATCTTACTCACTTCGGTATATCCTTGAAGAATCCATGAGAGTGAAGCAGGTCGTCGAGGAAGTATACGTTGCGCACGTTGTAGGAGGCGCGCGTTTCGTTCTTGATCTTGAACGCCTTGGTTAGTACCCTCTTCATCAGGTCCTGCCAGGTGGCGTCCTTGACCGGCATGATCACCTCGTCGACGTCCAGCAACGCGATGTACTCGTACTCGTACATATGCTTGTAGAGGCAATCGTTGTAGGGTATCAGCTCGTTCTGTCGCTTGTGGTTGGTCTTCTTGGTGAGGTACATGTGCTGGAACGCGGGCACGTTGGGCTGGCCGCCGGGCAGCGTCAAAGGGGTCACGTGCACCTTGCCCAGCCTCTGATAGTGATCGAGCACCTTGGTCACGTTCGGGTGCACCTGGAGCTGATAGAAGAAGATCTTGTCCGCGCCGAGCAGCGTGATCAGCTCGATCCACTCGACCAGCCTGACGGACAGGTCCTCGTGCAGAAAGTCCAGTCCCTTCACGCACACCGCGAAGTCCTTCTTCCTCTCCGGCTTGTTATAAATCACCCGTAAATTATTGCTGGGAGTGTCGCAGGGCTTCTCCACCATGGACACCGAGGCTGGCGGGCCTTTCAGCCAATGGGACTGCGGCACCTTGCAGGCGATCACGTAGGGCTGATAGATCCCCTGCTTGTAATTGCCCCATTTAGGGTACCAAATGTACTTGTACTCCAACGTTTCGACCACCTTCGGCTCCCTCTCGCCGTCGTACCATAATTGGCAGTGCGTCTTCACCGTGGGCTCTATTCTATCTATCATCCCCACTATCCTGATCGCGGGCCCGATCTTGGAGAGCTTGCGGCGGTCGTAGAAGGCGCCGAAGAACTGGAACGTTCCGTTGCTGGTCCTCATCGTCTGCCAGTAGACATTGTTGAACTCGATGTCGTAGATGGACGGATACTTGAGGTTCGAGCAGCTCTCATTTCCCTTGGACTTGCTCTGCGTTTGGGAGCCGGCATACCTGCTGTTCTTGCTCCAGTAGGCTAGAGGCAGGCTCGGCAGCCTCTGTTCGATCTCCTGGATTAGCTCTTCCTCGGTTTTAGCCGGTCTCTTGTCCAGCAGAGGCTCCAGGTCCAGTGGATTCTTCGTTGGCCCGTTGGACAGAGTAGTCAGCGTGGTGAGGACACCCGAGCCAGCTGAATTCGAGAAACTCGAGTCCGCCGGAGACCTCTGCAGCAGGTACCGCGAGAGGCCGAGGCTCGAGGAGCCACGGTTATTGACTAGCACCTCTCGACGCCGGTACACGTCGTCGACCAGGACGTCCGCCGACGTGTCCTCGCCGGTCGGCGACTCCCGCAGGCTGTTCTCCACGTGCCGGAACTGGACTGCCGCGATCATTACCAGCCCCCAGGCGAAGACGAAGACCAGGGCGCGCCTGGCGCATCTGGACCCGCCGCCACTGCATCTCTGCAACATCTTCTGGCGACTGTCGGTCGAGTTTTAGCCGCGGATCGATTCAACGCACCCCGTCCCTCCCTCTGGTTCGCGTCTCGTTCCCTCTTTCTAGCCGGGCTCGACTCGCGCTCAAGTGCCAAGCCGTTGCGTCTGGAACATGAACGATTGCGATTGGTCAAATGAAAGTCACAAACAACGCCGAGGGGAGACCGGATGTGATATCGATCTTCAGGGAAATGCCGAAGAGTGCTGTTAATTAGTACTGGATGGGTTAGAGCGAGACACTCGGCTGGTTTTGTTCCGTGATTATTGGGGTTGTCGAGGTAATCGGTTAATTGGAGGGAGGTACGATAATTTCGAGCGTGAATTGCAATAGTGCCTCGCGTATCTGAGAGATGGTAATTATTGGTTAACGGGTTGAGGGAGTGGAGATGAAAATAGGTGAACGTAGAAATAGGAATGGAAGAGTGTGCAGAAGAGGGAAAGAGAAGTGAGAAGAATAATGCAGTTCGCATTAGTCATTGTCTGCCAAGGCCGGTAGCACTGACTTTCAGGAATGGTAATCAAACTGTCGCAACAGTCTGGGCTAGGTTTAAGCGCGCGGAAGTAGAAACTTTAATTATCTAGTATTGACACTTCGAAGATTTGGAATTCAATATGAACTACTGGTCAGTATCGGAAACGTATTTTTACAGTAGTATAGTTCACGTAACTAACGAGTGATTCGTATAATAACTTCCTTTCTATGTACTTATCAATTCTAATAATATTCGAATGGCCTGGGTTAGGTTAAACTCCCACATGTGTATGTATTACACGCGTATCTAAGCTGGAATGTGCAAATGACAAGTAACGCATTGTATGCATTATTTAGAAATAATAACGGTAACGTAGAACAGTAATAATTTATTCAAAAACACTGATACAAGTTGGATACAAGTACTTCCAAGTAGTTCGATAAGAATGTAACATTTTACTCGTATCTACTGTATGTTTATGCAAAAGATACGAAGACATCTTCAACGACTCCATATTTTTGGTTATCCCAGACGATGTACCGAATTATCTTCCGAAAGATAGCGCCGAAGATAAAAGGAAGTATCAGAGACGAAAGTTGCACCGTGCAAGTTGCTTTCCATGTGATAATGAGTAAATTTGCGCGGCACTAAAAGTGTTAAATCCGCGGCCGAGGCACCGCGGCGGGTTTTCGCAGTGTCCGGAGCCGCAAGAGTAAATAAAATAAAGTCGTTTGGCAGCGGGGATGGCGATAGCGTCCGGCGCCGCGTGAAAGCCACCATGTTGTGTGTCCGGCGCGGCCACCTTGACACGATCGACTCGTTCCGAATGAATTTTTCCTGTGTCTATTCCCGGTGCCTCTTATCGCATACCGCCGCGATTTTTTCACCGTTCATACGGGTTCCGCGCGCGACCGCGCGGACACAGACGCAAAAGTCATTTGCATCTCGCGAAGGGTCAAGGATAGAACTGCGTCGCCGCCGAACACGTGACTCTACGCGCCGCGGATCTTATCCAGGGAGAGAGAGGACATCGAATGATATCGGCCCGATACGATATCGTTCTAACAAAGTTCAATGACCGGCGATTTTGCGAGTTATAATTAGATCGTCGGGCCTTGCGCGTTCGTGAGAGGTTTAGATATGCAGATTTGGAAATTGGAAATTGGGGGTTTGGAAGTTCGAACTATTGGGAATTTGAATGTTCGGAAATATGAATGTTTGAGGACTTGAACATTTGAAGATTTGTATGTTTGGAAAATTCAACGCTTGAAGATTTGAACGTTCGAGAAGTTGGACGGGAATTTTGGACGCTTAGGAGTTTGCATACTTGGACATTTGAACGCTTGAAAATTTGAACGTTTGAGAATTTCAACAACTGAAAATTTGAATGTTCGAGAACTTGGGCAGGAATTTTGGAGGCTTAGAAATTTGAATATTCGAAAATTTCTACGTTTGAGAATTTGAATGCTTGAAAATTTGAACGTTTGAGAACTTAAACAGGGATTTTGGATGCTTAGGAGTTTGAATATTTAAAACTTCGAATGTTTAGAAATTCGAACGCTTGAAAATTTGTACGCTTGACAATTTGATTGCTTGAAAATTTGTACGTTTAGAACTTCAACAATTAAAAATTTGAACATTCGAGAACTTTGACAGGAATCTTGAACGTTTAGAATTTTAATATTTGAAAATTTGAACGTTGGAAATTTGTACGTTTGAAAATTGAAACTTGTTAGAAGAAATCATTATCTGCTTCTATTGGGTTCACGCATAAATAATTTCCGTTTCACTAAAAAATATGAATGTCCATGCAAATTCACAGCTTGATAACAACGATCGTTAACCGGGAACAGGAAAAGACCTTCAAGTGTCTTACGGCCGCTACGCTATGCCTCGATTCCTCTCCTTCATTAACCAATAAAGAAAAACACTCCTGGATCCCGATTACCAAGGAGGAACTCCTCGATTACCATTCTCCAGTTTCGCCGGTTGCGTCAAACGCCACAGGAAAACGCTTCCGGTTATTAGCCTCTTCCTTTCTGGACACTCTGCTACTAAGAAGACGATATTTTTCTGATACACTTAACTTCCCTGATAAAGACGTACGCAGGATGACGATAAAAAGGGTTAGGACGTTTAATGATAGACGACACTGCTCTAATACAGCAAGAAACATCTAATGAATATTTCCAAGCTTATAATTAAACTAAAAACTCGGCTGGAAGAAGCTCAAATTTCCCGGAGTAATTTAAAGAAACAAGAGTCGAGGAGGAACTGCTTTTTCATAAGACTCTTAATAACCTCGAACTAACAGTGTTCTTCAATTTTTATAAACACTATTATATACTCTGTATTTCTTGTTCCAGCTACGGTACAAAACAGTTCGCGCGAAACGGCGTGTCATTACGGTTTCCCGATCTTCCGGAATCGTAAAACGTTCCTTTTGTCATTCCGTGCATTTTCGTATCGACGTTTTCCTTGGAAATCGTCGTTAACGGACGCGTCGTTGAACGGAACGAGCTCGACGCGCGACCTAACAATTCCGTCGTCGTAATTTATGAGAAATACCGAAGGGGAAAAGTAACATTCCGATATATACACGCGGTTACAAGTCGAACAGAAACGGGAACAACTCTCACAACTTTCGACCAGTAAAAGCTATTGTACGGCTCTCCTAAGTTCGAACGAATTCTAGCTAATTTTTGATGTCCTGTAATTCTATTAAAGCCGCGCCGCAATTAAGCCTGGAAAACAACAATGCGGATCAAGCGAGCCACGTGTTCCGGTTTCCGAATACAGTCCTGTCCAAAAGTGGAGCACCTTAAACCGAACGCTTCGAGATCCGAGAACGGGTCGATTTATTAATGAGTTTACCCGTTATTAACTCCGACGTTACGTCCATACGGAATTTTTCTCGAACATCGGTCGATAAGTCACCGATAACTGAATTATCGATTTATATGCTTTTATGGGGAACTTGAAAATGCGAAATTATACCGTGCAATAATAAACATATCTAAAGTGTGCTTTTCATGGTATTTTCTAAGGAGAAACTATTTTCCAGTGTAATTATATTTTTGTAATGATGTGTTCAGCACTAGATTTACGGCAAGAGTCAATTATATAATCGAATTTTATAAATATTATTAGGTCAATATTTTGATCGATTTTGATTGTGCAGTTATTAAAGTATACATTTTAATTGTCTACTTTAACCAGTTAACTGTGTTTGACGAGTATACACGTCATCGTAAAGCTCGACGTGATACTAATTCTTTCAGCGACGAATTCTTTATTTTTTCACATAAACATGTAATTCTTTGTTTCGCTTTGATCTTTCATTAACACTTTGAATGCCATAGGGGTCACCGGTGACCACCAATCAAATCGACTTACTTTAGTTCGCTCAATTAACACTAGAACTGCCGTGCCAGTCAAAATGACTGGTTTCTGTTTTTCTGTTTCGCAATTATTGATATCTTCGAAGTATTGAACATTCGAAATGATTTTGAAAATAAATGGTTTCACTTGAATACTATAATGAATGTCTGAAGAAACCGAAAATAATCTATTACTACAATATTCATAGCGATTACATTTCAAACGTATCAAATGCTCGGTAGTTCTAGTGCTAAACGATGATTATTCGAAAATATTTCTGTATTATAAATAATGCCACTGCGGTGACGTTCAGCTAGATGCAATTATAATAATGCGATTCAATCGAATGATTTAATATTTGAATTTTTCCATTTTGTGTATTTTGCGGCATCAAATCGTAAGGGCATTCAACGTGTTAAAATATACTCTACATTTTTTATTTTATTTTTTATCGCGCGCAGAACGAGAGGTTTTTCCAACTAAATTCCACACATAACTGGTTAAACCTTTGATTTCCAAGTTCTAAATGAACAAACGCCAATTGGTCAAAGATCGATAGAAGAAACTTCACAGTAAGTGTCCCTGAATCCAGTGTTAAAAATTTGAGTTTGCGTGAAGATCGATGACTTTCAGCCGACTGTCTCGTAAATCCGAGGTTCCAGGATTTTACGGGTCCTCGGCGGACACGCGGAGCATTCCGTAAAAATAACGTTATTTCCAGTATGTAAGAAACATGCAAATTGAGAAACACGAAGTCGACGTGCCGAGGTGCCGTTACGGAGTGCTACGCCAATAATTTTAATCTTCGACGGTCGTATGGGAATCGGCTTCCACGTGCCTTTCGCCGGGACGTTTAATTATACCTGGCATCCGCGCAAAGTTGCAGAAATTCCAGCGTCACGAGAAAAATTCGCGGCATCGTCTGCTGTTTATTTCTCGGCGTTCATCAAAATGTATGAATCCTCGGGGCGAGGTATCTACTCAGCTAAGTGGCAGATAGACTGACAGAGGGATGGAAGTGGGAGCCGGATCATTTGTTTATGCCACTGCGTCATTGAAAAGCAACCTATCAGAATGCGTTGTTGAAGATCTGTTAACAAGACGAGCCAGGAGCGGGTCATTTGTTTTGGGGTACTGTTATAATTCTTCACCGTGCGTGTTGCGGAATATTCAACGCATAAGGACAAATTAACAATTGTCTGATTCTTACTAGAAATCTAATTTATAATCTAACCAAGACCTAAGTAACAT